CGAGGATATCAGCGTATCCGAAGAGGATGATTCTATAGCGGCGGCTCGAATCGGGAGGCCTCCCGAGATTTTTGAACCTACTGGGCCTGAAGCCCCTAATCTCGAGGGAGAGACTTCACATTAGAGGAGCTGTGAAGGTCCTTCCATTCCTGATTTGGCAGCTGGTTCTCAGGCGACGGGAAGTACCCCGAGGGAAACGGACTTTGTCATGTCCCTGCCTCGACAGGGCGCCTCAGGTTGCTCTACCGGGGCGAATGAGACCAAGCCGGTAGATGTGAAGTCGACCTTCGAGAAAGCCCAGCGACTCTGCTCCATGGTGAGTTTTATTATAACTTTTTCAATCTTCATATTTTCTCCTCTTTAACAGAACTTTTCTTTCTCATAGGCCTTTGATATGCTCAGGTCTGAGCTTATCTGCTGTGAGGCTAAGTTGCATAGAGCTTTGAACGGGGAGAGATGTCTCATGCTTCATTGTGACAAGAAGACAAGAGAGCTGATACATCTCCGATCAGAGTTGGACCGAAGCTGAGATTATGAAGACAATCTCGAGAAATAGGTAACTTCCGTTTTAAGGGAATATGGGCTTTTTTTCCATTTTTCGGAAACTTATGTTTCGGTATCCCAGTTGCAGAAAAAGACAGAGGTGTTGGAGCGCCTTCGAGGCAAAGCAACCAGGTCAACTTTGACTGCAACGATTTGAAGGCATAGATAGATGTTCATGTTGCGGCCAAAAGGAACGCTTTGGCTAAGGCCTCTACCCTCAAGATACAGCTTCATAGTGCTCGAAGAGGTGACTCAGTCTAGACGAGCAAAATTTCTAAGCTTGAAATAGATCTTTTGAAGCTGAAGGCCGAAGTTGTGGACGCTCGAGCCGAAGTCGAGGAGGTCCGATCAAAGGCCGATAAGAAGGTGGCCATTTACCTAAAGATGTCATCGAAGCTTGTGCGAAGTTGAGGGGGGCTTCCGATCGAGAGAGGAGAAGCAATGAATATGCCCGGTGCATATCCCGGAGGGAAACTCTCGAGGAGATTCATGGTAAGGGCTTCGATCTCTCGGAGGAGATAGAGCAAGCCAGGGCGGATAAGTTCGATGCCAAGTTCCTCATTTCCAATGACGAAGGCGATGAGGAGGGGGCCGATGAAGGAGCTGGTCCTAATGGGGCCGATGATGACATAGTACCCGAGGGGGGAAAGACTAAGTTCCCGAGGGTAGACTAGGCTTTCCTTTCTTGTTCTTTGTATAGGGTTGCCTGTGGGAGTGGTGTAAATGTACCTTTGTACCATTATTCATAATAACAAAGGAAACCTTTAGTTTTCTCTTCATATGAATTTCCACTTGTTTGTGTCTTTGTTTAGATTTTGAGAGTTGATGCCTGTGGATAATTAGTCCGATATGTTGGACTCTTAATATAGGAACCCTTAGGTTATGCCTGATGAGTAATTGATGATAGTTAACCGTTCAGGGCTAGGTCCTCGAATCAAGTTTTGACTCAGGCTCATTGACCCTTAGGTTCTCGACATACTGGCCCTTAGGCTCTTATGTATTGGCCCTTAGACTCTTTATGCTGGCGCTTAGGCTCTTACGCACTGGCCCTTAGGCGCTTTTTAGATTGGGTCGATGCGACCTCTGATATGGCTGTAGTTTTCCCCGTTTCGGCTGAAGTTTTGATTATGCCTTGGCATGTTTTATGTTCGTCCGACTCTTCGATGGCTCAAATAAGAACCTCAATTACGAATCAATATGCGACGATAATCGAGCACCTCGGGAGGTTCTCTTGAAGGCTAATTTTTCGAAGCCTTTTGCTGAAGGCTAATTATCTCGAAGCCTTGTCATTGTTTGGTGTTGATATGATCGAAGCTCTTTTGCTTATACCGAGGGTAGCCTGATTAACCGGTTCTTTTCAAAGTGTTTTTGAAGTATTTGAAGGCCTTTAGTTCTATGGCGGCAGTCGGACGTCTCTGAGCCGCGTTAATTTGGTCGGAGCTTTTCGATGCGATCATAGTCGATAGTCCCCGGGTAAGATGACCTCGGTGTCTATATAGAGGGTATGCCTTTTTAGGGGTCTTACAAGTTCGATATATAGCCTCGGCCTTAATATTGGGGTTGTGCCTTTTAAGGTCTTACGAATTTTGCCTCGTTGAGGTCTTACAGATTTGGTGTTACCTCGCTGAGGGCTTACGAGCTCGAAGTCGCCTGATCGAGGTCTTACGAATTCGAGTCTTTGATGGTTCAATGAGCTGACTGTCGATGGCAGTCCCGAGTGTTCGCTTTTGGCCCTCAAGCCGTTTTGCGTGAAAGTATTGAATTTCTTCGAGTATTTTGATAAGCAAAGAGGCTTCCTCAATTTTTTGATATATGTGTACATGTTATTTGCCTTTGGAGGCTCAATTGTTCTATATGGACACGGTTCATTTGACCGTTTGGCCCAATACAATATTCTCCTATCGAGGTCCTCCTGGCGTAGTTCGGTTTCTTACAAGGGATGATCTCCTGGGGTGATGCCCCCCAGTATTTGAGGTTGATTGAAGAGAAGCCTTGAATACTTGATGAGTTCTCCTTAGGTATCATATGGATGTTGCCTCGTTAAAAACCTTGCCGGTAAAACCCGTTCGGGATAAAATCCGGTCTAAGGGGAAAAGAGTGCAACGCATGCTTTAAAACCCAAGGTCTTCGAGCTGGAGGGTGCTTCGATTCCTCTCGATCGAACACCTGCAGTAAGTTAGTGTAAAACATAGATAAAACGGGAGAGGGTTGTACCTTAACGATGGTGTTCGAGCTTTGATAAATTCCAACTACTTGTTCCGAGGACGCGGCACGGTTCTTTACTCACTCGTTTGGATGTAGCCGAGAATGTAGGTTATAGTTGTTAGCTGATTTTTTACTTTCCTTTTGGATCTTTTGATGTAGGGGCCATCGATACCGGTGCCATGTCGTGCACCGCGAACATCTCTCTTGCTGCGTGCTGCTCCACGTATACTGCTTTTACCCCATCCTTGGTTGGAAATTTCATTGTTTGATGAAGGGTCGAGGGTACTACTCTCATACTGTGTATCCACGGCCTTCCAAGTAAGGCATTGTATCTCATGTCACCTTCGATGACATGAAACTTGGTATCTTGGATTGTACCGGCTACGTTGACCAGGAGGATGATTTCCCCTTTGGTTGTTTCGAGAGCCATGTTGAATCCATTGAGGACTCGAGAGGCGGGTATGATCTGGCCGAGCAGCCCGAGTTGCTCCACCACTCTCGACCTGATTATGTTGGCTGAGCTACCTGTATCCACGAGCACACATTTAATCTGAATTTTATTCAAAAGAAGAGAAATTACCAGTGCGTCATTATGAGGTTGAGACAAGGTCTCGATGTCCTCTTCGCTGAACATGAGAGCATCCTCTGGTAGTAACTCCGAGTTCGCCTTTCCCTGGTGATGGATATCTTTGTTCGTTTTAAAACGGGTTCCTCTGGGGCGTCGACCCCTCCAACGATCATGTTAATGACGTGATGCGATTCTTCTAGTTCGTTTTTCCTATTTGTATCTCTTTCTCGGAAATGGTTCTTAGCCCGGTCGCTGAGAAACTCACGAAGGTGCCCTTCTTTGAACAAATGGGCTACCTCCTCCCTGAGCTGCTTGCAATCCTCGGTCCTATGACCGTGAGTGTCGTGATACTTACACATCAAGTTGGGGTTCCTCTGTGAAGGGTCTGATAGTATGGGTTTTGACCACCTGGTATCTTTGAATTGTACCTATAGCCGAGACGATATCCGAGACATCAACGTTGAAGTTGTACTCAGATAGACGGGGTGCCACTACCAACACAATGTGCCTATCAAAACCGGCTTTACTCATGAGTCCCCGGGAATTTCGACCTCGATCCATCCTTCGATCACCTCGAGGTATATTACGCCTTGGCGAGTTTCTTCGATCTTCTACGTACGGCTGGTATCTTTCCTTGTTTAATCTTGGAACTCTTTCTGTAAACCTTTGTTCCTTCGTTAAGAGCCTGCTATGATATTTAGAGCCCGAAGGGCTCCTAATTGGTCATCTTCGATCCTGATTTTTGACTGATACCTGTTGTGCACATCCGCCTAAGTCACGGCGAGATATTCGACCAAAATTTTGTTTTAGCTGCTTCGAAGCTACCGAGCTTCGTTCGTTTAAGCCTTGAGTGAAGGCCTGTACTTCCCAGTCATTGGAGACTGGTGGTAATTCCATTCACTCCATCTAAAAATGAGATACGAATTCCCTTAGCATCTCGTTCTTTCTCTATTTGATTTTGAAGGCATCGGACTTCCTGGTGGCGACCTTGATGGCACCGGCGTGTGCTCTCACAAAAGAATCCGCCAACATGGCAAATGAATCTATCGAATTTGGAGTCAGGGTATGATAACACATCATGGCCCCTTTCGATAGCGTTTCTCCGAATTTCTTCAACAAGACAGACTCTATCTCGTCGTCCCTTAAGTCATTTCCTTTTACATCACAAGTGTAAGCGGTGATGTGCTCATTGGAGTCCGTGGTCCCGTTGTATTTCGGTACGTCGGGCATTCTGAACTTCTTCAGGATGGGCTTCGGAGCTGCACTTGGCGGGAATGGTTTCTGTATGAACTTTTTTGAATCTACGCCCTTCAGAATCGGGGGCGCGTCCGGGATCTGATCGACCCTCGAGTTATAACTCTCCACCCTTTTATCGTTATCTTCTATATTCTTTTCTCCTGATTCAATTCTTCTGATGAGTTCCTCGAGCATCTTCATAATAGCGGGATCAGCTGCTGACGCGTTATTGCTCGATCTCTCCGGTACCAGCTCGACTCGATGAGCTGTTTCCGATGCTACTGTGCTTGGGGTTTTTTGGTGGCTTTGTTGCTGAGCAGTATTTTCCTACTGTGCTTGTAACATTTCAAAAATGACTTGAAGACTAACGTCTCTTTCCTCACCGCGCACGCTTCCGTTGGTAGGAGATCTTACATCGACATGCACAACATTACGTGAGCTTACGTCGATGGCGATTTGTGCTGATGCCTCCCCTGGGTTTTGCGGTGGTACACCGGCATCTGCTGGTGCTATCCCTGGATTTTGTGGTGGTACACCGGCATCTGCACCGTTTTCTCCCTGGAGCCCAATGCCGTTGTTTTCACGTGCATTTGCTGAGTTAGATATTTTGACCTGAAATCAAAGATTCTTGGACAAGAAAAAGTGTGAAGGGTAACTTGTGTTTTCAGAAAACTAGCACCAAAACAATCACTATTATTTTTAGCCCCACGGTGGGCACCAAACTGTTTACCTTGAAAATAGTAATTACAATTATATTTGATTTTGGGGTTCTACGTGATTTATTTTAATACTAGTTGTTAGGTAATAGATGTTAAATGTGAGTAGAGAAAATAAGAAATGCAAACCAATGAGGTCACAAGGTTGAGCCTCGAGCCAGCTGGAGCAGGGCCTCGAGGTCTAGCCGGGTTAATAGCTACGAACAATCGATGAAGATCAATGATAATGAAGGCCTTACAGATGGCCTTTTGCGGCTAATGATGAGCAATAAATGATGAACAATAATGAATAATGAAAGAATAAGCATTAAATGTGAGGAACAAACTGTTAGCAAAGAGAGCGGAGGATGTTGTATTGTATTCAATGTGTTATGTAATAATGCGGATCCCCTTTACAAAATGACAAAGGTACCCTTTATATAGGAGGGGTGAATCCCAATATAGTACATGTCTAATAAACAAATAATTAATGCTACTAGTACATCTGTATAACGGCTCAGCGCGAATGTGTACTATTCTTGCAGACTCTGTCAGTCATCATCGTGTGCTTTTGGGGGTTTCCCGCCTTTCCTTGATGACCACCGACCCGTACCGTTCCGAGATCGACTTTCGATGTGTCCCCCGAGAGGAGCCATTCGGGGTCCGCCCTCAAGTCCCACTTCGAGCCCCTCGAGGCCGGGCGTGAAGTGGCACAGTAACCTCAAAGTCGGACTCTCCAATTTTGGCCGCATACAAAACTGACTCCTAACAAGATTAAGATTGTTTTACTCCCTTTTTCTTTCCTTATATTATCAAGCACTATTTTTCTTTTGCCCAAATTATTAGGTCTTCTTTTTTGACAACAGCAATTTTTTTGACCCAATACTACTTTTTTATCTTTTCCTTCTGCTTCATCTAATTCACTACAGCAAAGAAAATGAAAGTTTGCTTTAGAAAAATAAAGAGTTCAGAATGGTAAAATTCACTAATTTTCTTTCGCGTCAATTACGTTATCCATCACAGTTTTATGGCATTTCTAATATTAATACTATGTGTTTCTCATTAATTTTTTTATCGTGTTTAAATAGTTGTACACTTATACGATTTGATTGGTGGTAACTTTACATTAAATAAAGTTAAGCACCCACGAACCTAAAATCTTGAATCTGCCGCTGTATTTGAGGGGCATATAATAGATTCCTTTTTCTTTGGTATAAATAAGTTAAGTATACTCCACAGAAAACTAGTACGTGCAGTATCTTTGATAGAAAATCTATTGAAGCGTCGTACGAAGCTAGTCTCATCCAAGTTTGTACTCAATGAAATTTAGCAGTCAAAATGTAGTAATCAATCACGCATTTGCACTTGTACCCGCAAAACTTCTCAAGTTACAATGACATTCTAAAGTTCTACCACTACAACTTCAAAATTTTCATCAATGAATGCGATGTAAGTTTTTACTTCTTCTGTTTCATAATAAGTAACTTTTTAGTCTTTAGCATATTCCTTAAAAAAATACGAACTCCAAAAAAAAATATATATTTACTAAAATAACCTTAATTTTGTTACCTTGACATATTGAAATATGTAAATAAAGGCAAAATTATTTCCTTCTTGATTATATAAAAAAATACTTATTTTGGACCAAAATAAAAATGCCAAGAAATCACTTATTATAGACCAGAGGGAGTATGTAAATTTCAAGTATATTTGTAACTATTTCAGTTTTAAAAAAAGTTGCCTAAAAATATTCCGGAGTTTGTTGGTACAATAATGTTGATTAATTGAGACGTTTAAGGTGAGATAAATAATAATTAGCAGAAATATCTCATGATTAAGACTATTTATCATCCATCTTAAGAATCTTAAAAGACAAGTAATATGAACTTGAGAGACTATTTATATTATTTGCCTTTTGGATTGAGTTTAACTGCATGATCTTTATACCGGCGAGCTTATTTTTCTTCAGTTGATATACATAAATTATAAATTAATTAAATAGAGTTATACACATATTGTACCATATATATTATACATCAACAGATAATTTTTAGCTTAAATGGTTAGATAGAAGATTATTTAGCTTAATTTTTGATATTTTATTGGCTATGGGTGTTGGTTTATATTTGGTGAGTGTCAATATAACGTGTGTCCAGGAAACAAGGTGGGATAGGGTCGAGGGCGAAGGATGCGGGCGGGTATATACTTTGGTACTCAGGAGTCCAGAAAGGTAAGAATGGAGTGGGTATCTTAGTAGATAGGGAACTTGGAGAGTCTGTGTTTGAGATTAGACGAGTGAATAATAGATTGATGATTATTAAGTTGGTGGTTGGACAGTGCACCCTAAACGTCGTTAGTGCCTATGAGTCACATGCGGGCCTGGATGAGGAGGCTAAACGGCGCTTTTGGGAGGGGTTAGATGAGATTGTGCACCAAATTCTGCCTGCTGAGAATCTATTCATAGGAGGGGATTTCAATGGTCATATTGGGTCGACCGTAGGTGGTTATGGCGAGGTGCATGGAGTCTTCGGTTTTGGGGAGAGGAACGGAGGAGGTACCTCACTGTTGGACTTCGCTAAGGCTTATGGGTTGGTGATTGCGAGCTCTAGCTTTTCGAAGAGGGAGGAGCATTTGGTTAATTTTTAAAATGCGGTGGCGAAGACTCAGATTGACTATCTCCTCCTCAGGAGGTGCGACAGAGGGCTGTGCAAGGATTGAAAGGTGATTCCGCGTGAGGCACTCACAGCGCAGCATACGCTCTTGGTGATGGATGTTGGTATTATGTTAAAGAGGAAGAATAGGCCTGCTCGAGAAAGACTGAGAATAAGGTGGGGAACGTTAGCTAAGGATAAAGCACAAGAGTTGGAGGGGCGGTTGTCGGCTCTGGGAGCTTGGAGGAGTAATGGTGCCGCCAGCACTATGTGGTCAGCAACAACAGATTGTATAAGGGAGGCTGCGAGAGAGGTGTCAGGGGTCTCGACGGGCGTCTCTGGTGGGTACAAAGGAGACTGGTGGAGGAATGAAGTGGTCCAAGGTAAAGTGAAAGCGAAGAAGGCAGCGTACCTGAAGTTAATGGAGAGCATAGGTGAGGAGGAGAAGCAAGCGTGTTTGGAGAGGTATAAGGTAGCCAGGAAGGAAGCTAAGCTGGCAGTCACGGAGGCTAAGACTGCGGCTTATGGTCGTATGTACGAGGAACTGGGGAAAAAAGGCAAAGAGAAGAAGTTATCCCGACTGGCCAAGTTGAGAGAGAGAAAGTCTCGGGATTTGGAAGACGAAGATGGTAGAGTATTGATGGAAGATGCTCAGATTAAGAGGAGATGGCAGACTTACTTTCATAAACTTCTAAATGAAGAAGGGGATCAGGATATTGTTCTAGGCGAATTGGAGCATTCCGAGTGTCACCATGACATTGGGTGCTGCAAGCGTATCAAGGTTGAAGAGGTCGTGAGAGCTATGCGTAAGATGAGTAGGGGCAGAGCGACTGGGCCAGACGAGATTCTGGTGGAATTTTGGAAGTGTGTGGGGAAAGTAGGTTTGGAGTGGTTGACTGGGTTGTTTAATGTTATTTTTAAGGCGAAAAGGATGCTGGATGAGTGGAGGTGGAGTACGGTGGTTCCATTGTATAAGAACAAAGGTGATATCTAGAGCTGCAACAATTATAGGGGTATCAAATTACTGAGTCATACAATGAAAGAATGGGAGAGGGTGGTTGAATCGAGGGTGAGGATGACAGTGTCTGTATCCAACAACCAGTTCGAGTTCATGCCTGGTCGTTCAACTACAGAAGCTATACACCTTGTTAGGAGGTTGGTGGAACTGTACAGAGAGAGGAAGAAGGATCTACACATGGTGTTTATAGACCTAGAGAAAGTGTATGGCAAGGTTCCTAGAGAAGTTATGTCACGACCCCCGTTCACCCTCCATGAACATGTCGTGATGGCACCTAGTTCCTACAACTAGGTAAGCCTAACAATGCGGAAATGCGTATAACTTGCGGAAACAATTAACTAAATTAAGCAAAACTAGAAGAAAACGGTAAATGAGTGCCACCTGACATATAAAACTCAAAAGAAATGCGGAAGTCTAAAATCTCAACCCAAAACCCGAAAACTCAGGGGAACCATAGGCTAACAGAAGCATAGTACGCTGCTCTAACTCCAGAATATCTAAACAATTGAGAGAAAAGGAATAAACTAAGTACTAAAGCTGGAACAGAATAGAGACTCCTAGTCTACGGACGCGGTAGATATACGTCGAAGTCTCCGTGTATCGCCTCGCCTCAAGAATAGTGCGCCTGAGTGCAGGTACCTGGATCTGCACATGAAAAACATGCGCAGGAAGGGCATGAGTACACCACAGCGGTACTCAGTAAGTGCCAAGCCTAACCTCGGTTGGATAGTGACGAGGAAGGTCAAGGCCCTACTGAGATAAACATAATATATGATAGGATAAGGAAAACAGTATAGATAAAATCTACAGCGAGAATCTAAATAGGATAAATAAGGGAAACAGTAATAGGAAGCAGAAACAAACAATATAAGGAATACTGCTCACAACAGGAAGTAATAGCCGGGGATCTCTTGGTATCCCGAGGGTCTCTTGGTATCCTCAAATCTTACGTTTACATGTGCCAGGGATCTCTTGGTATCCCGCACCTCAGTTCAGAACATTACAAGTACAGGGGGATCTCCCGGGATGCCGTCCTGTAGTCCAACTATCAATGTGCAGGGGGGATCTATCGGGAATCAAACCCGCAGTACCAAAATAAATATGCAGGGGAATCTATCGGGAATCGAACCCGCAGTCCCAAAGTAAATATGCAGGGGGATCTATCGGGAATCTAACCTGCAGTCCCAAAGTAAATATGCAGAGGGATCTATCAGGAATCTAACCCGCAGTCCCAAAGTAAATATGCAGGGGGATCTATCGGGAATCGAACCCGCAGTCCCAAAGTAAATATGCAGGGGGATCTATCGGGAATAGAACCCGCACTCCCAAAGTAAATATGCAACCACAACAAGAAGGTATTCAGAACTAGAGTACGAGAAAATACAAGGCAAGGAGTAGTTCTAGCCTAACATGCTTCACGTAGTACAATCAAGGCAACTTAAGCAAATAGACAATTTAGGTCAGCTAAGCATGCTTTTCTAAACTAATACAGGCTATAATTGCAAGTAGAATAAAGCAGGTAAGAAAGAAACTCAGTCTAAATATTTAAAGTAAAATCGGGTTTATCAACAATTAGCTCAAGTACGCGCTCGTCACCTCACGCACAAGGCATTCAATTACCAATATCATATCCTAAGGGGAAAGGTCCCCCACACAAGGTTAGACAAGCCACTTACCTCGAACCGGCTCAAAACCAACTAGAAATCACGCCCTTGTCACGAGTATCCGACTCCAAATGGCCCAAATCTATTCAATTCAATTACATATCGTAAATAACATCGCAAACAACTGGTTTTGCTATTTAATTCAAAGCTACAACGTGAAATTAGGTAAAATGACAAAAATGTCCTTCAAGCCAATGCCTTGAATAATTTTCACATTTTCAGAACCCTCGTACTCTCACGAGTCTAACCATATAAAAATCTCCCAAATCGGAGGTCAAACACCCACTCAAAAACCCAATAGTTTAGCCTATGAAGCTTCACCCAATTTTCCAATGTTTGATCCCAAATTCGAATTTTAATGATAGATTTAACTACAAAATAATGAAATATAACTAGAAGGGATTAAAGAAACGTTACCCAATAGTCTTCTCTTCAAAACCCTCTGAAAATCGCCCTTACCCGAGCTCAATTTGGTTTTTCTAACTTATGAAATCAAACCCTCGAATTTTCTATATCAGAACAGGCAGTTCCGCTTCTGCGGAAACAAGCCGCTTCTGCGGTCTTCAATTAAATGGCCAGGACCACATCTGGGATAAATAAGCCGCAGGTGCAGAAGCGCATCTACGAGGGACAATCCGCTTCTACGGAGACTAGGGGCCACTGGGCTTCGCTTCTGCGGCGGATAAGCCGCTTCTGCGGCTCCGCCTATGCGGGAGAAGAACCGCTTCTGCGGTTTCTGAGGGAAAGGGCAATAGCCGCTTCTGCGATGCCGCATCGGCGGTTCCCAAGCCGCAGATGCGGAAATACCAGAAGCAACAAGAAATCAGCTGCTGCACACTTCAAAATTCTTCCGTTAACCACCCGAAATAATCCCGAAGCCCCCGGGACCTCAACCAAAAGCACCAATAACACCTAATACCTTATTCAAACTTGTACCGATCCTTAAACCACCTAAAACAACGCCGGAAACTCGAATTAGACAAGGATTTGAGCCTAAGAACATCAATTTTTTATCAAAATACGCTTGCGATCAAAAACCTAACCAAAACACGTCCAAATCACCTGAAATTTTGCACACACATCCCAAATGACATGACGGAGCTACTGCAACTTCTAGAATTCCAATCCAACCTTCGGATCAAAAACTCACTATCGGATCGGAACTTCAAGAATTCAAACTTCGGCATTCCAAGCCTAAATGAGCCACGGACTTCCAAAATACATTCCGAACACGCTCCCAACCCCGAAATCACCTAACGGAGCTAACGGAACCATCAAATTTCCATTCCAAGGTCGTCTTCACATTGTTCCGACTACGGACCACTTTTCCACACTTAAGCTCTCATTTAGGGACTAAGTGTCCCAAAACTACCCGAAACTCAACACCGAACGTCCCGGCAAACCAAAATAGCAGAAATGAACTTAGGGGAAGCAGTTAATGGGGGATCGGGGCGTAAATTCTTAAGATGACCGGCCGGGTCGTCACATCCTCCTACACTTAAACATTCGTTCGTCCTCGAACGAGCATAGAGAACATACCTGAAGTAGTGAAAAGATGAGGGTACTGGCTGCGCATATCGCGCTCGGTCTCCCAAGTCGCCTCCTCGGCCGGCTGACCCCACCACTAAACCTTCACTGAAGCAATGCTCTTTGACCTCAACTTTCTGATCTATCTGTCCAATATAGCCACTGGCTCATCAAAATAGGATAGATCCTTGTCCAACTGGACTGAACTGAAATCCAACACGTGAGACGGACCACCGTGATACCTCCGGAGCATCGCAACATGAAATACCGGATGAACTCCGGCCAAACTGGGAGGTAAGGCAAGCTCATAGGCAACCTCCCCAACTCGCCTCAAGACCTCAAAAGGGCCAATAAACCTCGGACTCAACTTCCCTTTCTTCCCAAACCTCATGACGCCTTTCATACGCGAAACCCGAAGCAGAACCCGCTCACCAACCATATATGAAACGTCACGAACCTTCCTGCCCGCGTAACTCTTCGGTCTGGACTGGGTTGTACGGAGTTTATCCTGAATTGTCTTAACTTCCTCCAATGCATCCTGAACTAACTCTGTGCCCAATAGCCTAGCCTCACCCGACTCGAAACAACCCACCAGAGATCTACACCTCCTACCATATAAAGCCTCATATGGCGCCATCTGAATGTTGGACTGATAACTGTTGTTGTAAGCAAACTCCGCCAATGGCAAGAAATGACCCCAAGACCCTCCAAACTCAATCACACATGCACGGAGCATATCCTCAAGAATCTGAACAGTGCGCTCGAACTGTCCGTCCGTTTGGGGGTGAAATGCTATGCTCAACTCCACCCGAGTACCTAACTCCTGCTACACGGCTCTCCAGAACCGCGATGTAAACTGGGTACCTCTGTGCAAAGTGATAGAAACTGGAATACCATGCAGACGGACGATCTCCCGAATATAAATCTCCGCCAACCGCTCCGATGAATAAGTGGTACACACAGGAATAAAATGAGCGGACTTGGTCAGCCGATCCACAATAACCCAAATGGAATCAAACTTCTTCAAGGTCCGTGGGAGTCCGGATACAAAATCCATGGTGATGCGCTCCCATTTCCACTCCGGAATCTCTATCTACTGAAGCAACCCACCCGGGCGTTGGTGCTCATACTTCACCTGCTGGCAGTTGAGGCATCTAGACACATAGCCAACTATATCTTTCTTCATCTGCCTCCACCAATAGTGCTGCCTCAGGTCCTGATACATCTTCGCGGCACCACGATGGATGGAATACCGCGAGCTATGAGCCTCGACTAGAATTATCTCTCGAAGACCATCAACATTGGGCACACAAATCCGGCCCTGCATCCTCAATACTCCGTCATCTCCAATGGTCACATCCCTGGCATCTCCATGCTGAACCTTGTCCTTAAGGACAAGTAAATGAGGGTCCTCATACTACTGCTACCTGATACGATCAAATAAGGAAGACCGGGAAACCACACAAGCTAGGACCCGACTTGACTCCGAAAGGTCCAATCTCACAAACTGGCTAGCTAAGGCCTGAACATCCATCGCCATAGGCCTCTCCGAAGCTGGTAAATATACCAAACTCCCCAAACTCTCCGCCCGGCGACTCAAGGCATCCGCCACTACATTGGCCTTGCCCGGGTGATACAGAATAGTAATATCATAGTCCTTCAATAACTCTAACCACCTCCTCTGGCGCAAATTTAGATCCTTTTGCTTGAACAAGTGCTGCAAACTCCGATGGTGAGTATAAATCTCACAAGGCACAACGTACAAATAGTGACACCAGATCTTCAAGGCATGAACAATAGCAGCTAACTTAAGGTCGTGGACAGGGTAGTTCTTCTCATGTATCTTCAACCGTCTGGACGTATAGGCAATCACTCTACCGTCCTACATCAACACCGCTCCAAGGCCAACCCGTGAAGCATCACAATAAACTGTATAGGACCCCGAACCAGTAGGCAATATCAAAATAGGGGTTGTAATCAAAGCTGTCTTGAGCTTCTGAAAGCTCGCCTCACACTCCTCCA